GGGGAAGGGGGTGGGGCGGGGGCGGGGGTGGGGGGCGGGAGGGGGTGGGGAGCGCGCAGCGCGCCGTGCTAAACGCACTTGCAACTTACACATAAACCAAACTTATTTTCTTCATAACTTTTTAACAAACAATGAGCGACGGGAATGGGCAATGACCTTGACCTCCTTGGGGGTCAAGGTCAACATCAAGGTCAAACGGAAGTTGATTGGCGGGTGCTATGTAAGGGTAAATATTTACCTTTTCTTTTCTCTTTCCATTTTGAACACGACTGCAGAACAGTCTTCAACGCTATTTCAATGGCTTCTTCTTTGGACACTTGAATATCCGTCTTGAAAATATTCTTTTGATCATCGGGAAGGTTTTCAAAAGTAATTGCTTCCAGGTTTTCGTTAATAAACACTACTGTGTGTTCCTCAAGTGGATTTGTTATTTTCAGCGATAAAATGCCATCCACGACGCCAGAAAGTTCGCTCGTCTTGTTGTCAACAACTGCCTCCAGTGTTGGTCTCGATGCGCTGGCATACTTTCTACTCTTAATAATGCTGAGTGCGCACATTTTTCCATCGTACAAATTTGCTTCTAAAATAAAGAAAAGAATTTTAATTAATTAATTATCACCTTGCATTCCATGAAATCAATAGTTCCATGAAGCACGTGAATGGATACAAACGTTGCATAATATCTTCGATTAAATTGTGCTCAGTGCCCACTCGTGGTTTCTTTGGTTTCTTCTGCCCATGGTAAAATTGTGATATTGGAACTGTGGCATACATTTCCTTCTTGTCATTTTTTAATCGACCCCACTGTTGTTTGATATCGGTACATGAAACGTCCTCAATGGAATCGATTGGTGTCCTGTAAATGATTCAAAACACAAAGATTTATCAGTTACATGCTTGTATGATTTCATACTTATTAATTGCCTTAGCTTTGTATACAGTACCTTACTAAGTACGTCATCACTGCGACGCTGTGTTTACATGTTCCGCACGATCCTGCGACACAGGAACATATTATTGAACCTATTGCCCTGTTAACAACAGTGCAATGGAGTTCGTGGGGAATTTTGTCCAATGCTGATGTTTTTAAACAGAGGGTAAAAATTTTTATTTCGGTGTCTGTTTGGTCGGTCATACCGCACAGAATCAAATGACCAGCCTCGAGTACTCTCTCACCTTCTTCATAGGCTCGCACGCCCTGCCCGACGTGCTTTAGCATCGCAGTAAGAGGCAAAACTCCTATCTCCATGACTTTCCCTGTAAAAGAAACCTTTAATTAAGAAAGTTGTCAACATAATTACATGCCGATTGCATTTTTGCAGTCATGTAAAAAATGACTAAAAACAATTATTTTACATTTATAATGCTTTCTTAGCCGGAGAAACTTATTGTTAAACAACAATTACAAATTATTTTCTTAGTTAAAAGCTTTACAAAACGAGTAAACGAACCCGGAAATTCGCAAGTTGAGGTTATTCAAACGAAAATCATCCATATAATCGAAAAAAATATCGATAAATTACGAAAAAATTATAAACAATTTTGTTTAAAAAATTACTTACCTTTATCGTGAAATTGTTATTGGGCATACTTTTTTTTGGGCTGTTCGCGACAAATATTGTACGGAACATTGAAAAAGGCACGTATGTAGGGTTCGCTAAATGGCCACCAGATAGAGATGGACCTTAAAGCGCATAGCGAATATCGACCAA